TAATAAAGGGACTATTTATAAAAGTGTGAGAACACACCAGGGAACCACAGAAAGCAAGGAGTGGGAGCGGTTACTGGAACCCAGAACCAGAGAGCTGTGTAGAGAGACCACTTGGGAAGAGGACTTGTGACCTTTGGTCAAAAGGGCCAGTCAGTCCCGAGTGACCTTACAGGCAGGAAGTCAGGGGAAGGAATAGCCCCACCTCACTCTCTTCTGTCCCACACATGTGAAGAAGCAAACCAAAGACAAGTACTTAACATTTCTGAGTCTTATTTTTCTCATTTGTGAAAGGGGAATAATAATATTTATATCTCAGAGTTTCTCTGAGAATGAAATGAGAACTTACATCGTTCATAGTAAAGAAGCTAGGCACTCAATAATTGTTCTCTTCCTTCACCTGATCTTCACAACCCCCTTGTGTAGTAGACAGGATAGATTTGATTCAATTCACTCTATAGGGTGGAAAATGAGACTCGGAGAAGTTAGGCGACTTTCCCGAGGTCTCATGGCTAGAAAGGTACCAGACCTAGGAACAAAACTAAGATTTTCAACACATACTCTAGGCTTCTTTCCATAGGCTATTCTTGTACCCCTATATCATCTTCTTCAAAAGGCTGACACCAATGGTTTCTTCTATCTAGAGCTGCTATACCTGGAGCTAGTGACTCTGCTATTCAGAGAAAAATTTATTGACTCAGCAATCAGTGCGTGAGACAAAATAAGCAACCACTAGATGGTTCGATGAAAAGAAAGCCAAATGCCTAAAAGGTGACTGGATGTAAGACTCTGACCAATATAGATTCTCCATGTTACATCCTTGGCAATTCTACTTTGATAGCCACTAGGCATCCCCTACACAGTACATTGATGTCAGAATTCCTTTTTTTTTTTTTTTCCTTCTTTTGTAAGAAAAGAATCCTATTTACCCATTTCACCCATCCCCTCACCAACCTCCCCTCTGGTCACCAGTTTGGTTATTTAAGAGTGTTGGGTTTTTTTTGTTGTTGTTAGCTTGTTTGTTCATTTGTTTTGTTTTTCAGATTTCACATATAAGTGAAATCCTACAGTATTTGTCTTCCTCTGACTTATTTCACTTAGCATAATACCCTCTAGGTCCACCAATGTTGTTGCAAATAGCAAGATTTCACTCTTTTATATATGTATATACCACATCTTCTTCATTCCTTCACGTTATCAGTGGACACCTGGGCTGCTTCCATTTCTTGGCTATTTAAATAATGCTGCAATAAACATAGGGGTGCATATATCTTTTCGTTTTTTTTTTTTTAAGTAAGCTCTACACCCAACGTGGGGTTGAACGCATGACCCTGAGCTCTAGAGTCACATGCTCTACCGACTGAGCCAGCCAGGCACCCCATGTATCTTTTCAAATTAGTGTTTTCATTTTCCTTGGACATATACCCAGTGGTGGAATTACTGGATCATATGATACTTCTATTTTTAATTTTCTGAGGAACATCCACACTGTTTCCCTACAGCGGTTGTACCAATTTACATTCCCACCAACCATGCACGAGGGTTTCCTTTTCTACACATCCCTGAGAACACATACTATTTCTTGTCTTTTTGATACCAGTCATACTGACTGGTGTTTGGGGATAGCTCATTGTGGTTTTGACTTGCATTTCCCTGATGATTAGTGGTGCTGAGCATCTTTTCATGTGTCTCTTGGCCATTTGAATGTCTGAATTCAGAATTCTTGATTCCTTCTACCTTGAAACTGTTCTAACCCTAAATCTTCCCCTCCCAATAAAAGCATCACTATCTACCCAGTGATGCAAATCCCAAGCCCAGGAATTATCCTAGATTCCTTCCTTGTCTGTCTGCCTTCCCTCCCTCAGCAAGTCTAGTTGGCTTTACTTCTAAAATATGTCCTAATTCAACCTCTATTCTCCATCTCCTCTGCTAATCCGAGCCACCATCATTTCTTGCATGGCTACTATAATAATCTCCTGTCAAGTCTTCTCACTTCAACTCTTCCTTCTCTCCGACTCACTAAAATGGATCACGCTGCTCCTTGACTTCAGCCCCTGCACAGGTCTCTTCTTCATAGTTCCACGTCATGGTTCCTTACCACAGCTGTTAGGGCCCTACTTTCCTGACTCCACTCTCCCCCATCACTAGGCTCCAGCTACGCTTTCTATTCTTTGAACACACCAACCCCTTTCTGGTCTCCGGCCCCATTGCACTTATTTATTCTCTCTGCCTAGAATGTTTTTTATCCAGCCTTTGTATGCCTGGCATTTTCTTACTGTATAGGTTATTAGCTTAACTATTACCTTCTTAGAGAAGTTTCTTTTACCATCCAATCTAAATATTACTCCAGTGTAGTCTTTTATTAGTACTCTAAATGCACAGACTAAAATGATCCAATTGACTTTATTTATTATATGTTACCCTATCAGAATATAAGCTCCATGAAAGCAGGGCCCTCATCTGGCTTATTTGTTTATCCCTGTCTTCCTAGCACCTAGACAAAGCCTGGTATATCACAGCCTTTTAATAAATCTTTTTTTTTTTTTTAATAGGGATACATGTTTGCTGTCTGAGAAGTTCTGGCATTCTCTTTCCTTTGCAACCCAAGTTCCCTTTTAGTGTAATTTATTCATTCTTCAATAAATATTTATTGAGCACCTACTATGTACTAGACATTCTCATAGGACTGAGGATACAACTGTGAACAAGATATGCATAACTCCTACCTGCATGGGAGTTATAGTTTAGGGAGAGAGAATAGGAAAAAAAGAGGAAATTAAAATATATTGTGATATTTGCTAAGATAAGGAGGGAAACTAAGGGTGCCAAGGGAAACACAGAAAATGGCACCTAACCTCAAAATAGGTGATGAGGAATGATTTTCCAGAATGAAATGATCTGAAAAATGAGCAGGAGTTAGCCAGGTGAGTAATGGTAGAGAATACTTCTGGCTTGGCTTAGACTAACCTTGGAGGCCAGAGAGAGCACAGAACTTATAGGAGCCAATTCAGTGTGTTAGTTTAGTTTGGGAGGAGTAAAACTTGTAAGGGGGAAAGAAGAGAGAAGGCTGAAGAGGTAATCAAGGCAGGATATGAAAGGCCTCTGCTAAAGGAGCTTCATATTACTTAAATGGAATAGAAAGTCACTGAAAGTCATCTCAGGAAGAACTGGCTTATATCTGTTTTTTAAAAGGATCACTCAGGGGGCGCCTGGCTGGCTCAGTTGATTGAGCATTCAACTCTTGATTTTGGCTCAGGTCATGATCTCTGGGTCATGAGATTGAGCCCCATGACTGGCTATGCACTTGGCATGGAGTCTGCTTGAGATTCTCTTTCTCCCTCTCCCTCTGCCCCTCATCCCCACCCTCTCAAATAAATAAATAAATTCTTTAAAAAAAATAAAAGGGTCACTCAGAAACCATAACTCTATGTCTGGAAAAGAACAAAGACTCTACTTACATTAGGGTAAGAGGTGTAGTTAGCAAATTTGGGGCCCCTAACTAATTGAACTGAGTCACCATCTTAATCCTTTCCCCTTAAAAGTATCTCTTTTCCCCAAAGTTAACCACTAAGCATCTTTGGGACTAACCTTCTCTGGCCTCTCCCCCTGTCTCTAGACTCCCAAATCAAGTCACTGGGGTCATATAGCATTCCCTCAAGGAACAAATATTTTTCCAACATGCTGCAACACCCAAAGTGCATGTGATTTTAGAAGTTAATATATTGTGGCCTTCTTTGGGGCATTCTTTTTTTCAAAGTTTTTTTTTTTTTTTTTTTTTTAAGTAATCTCTATACCCAATGTGGGGCTCGAACTCACAACCCCAAGATCAAGAGTGGAATGCTTTACTGACTGAGCCAGCCAGGCGCCCCCTTTTTGGCATTCTTGGTCTGATATGCTAGCAAAGGCCACTACAAAGTTTTCCTCTATGGTAATAGGTCAGGACAGTTAATGAGTATAACAGGAAGAGACTACTACTGAGGTGTTTCAACTCACTTGGTCATTCACTGAGAAACTCTTTGCATGAGTTTTTCCATGGGGCAGGACAAGATGAAGACACTGTCACGGCTTTTCGGGGTAGAACCTTTTCTAGTGAGTGAGGAATACTTGGGTAATCGCAGTGGCTAAGCCAAGAACTAAGCATGCATAACCCTGACAAACAGGTCCCTGATGGGAGCATTATCTAAAGCTGCCAGATATTTGGAGCAAATGTTTCTTTTTTGATAAGAAGCTGGTGTGATGCCCCTATGGCATTCAGAGCACGGGGGTTGTTACTCCCTCTCTGGTCTTTTTCTCACAACTCTGTTCTGCCTGAAATTTTGGGCGAAATTTCTGCCCGAGCTAAAAGCAGGCAGATTTAACAACTGGAAAAAACCATGACACACGGCTTCCCCAACCCCTTAAGGTTTTTTTCTGGTCTGTGGGTGAATATCATGACTGAGCAAGCCTATTGCACGGACTGGTGTGAGAGGACTCGCAATTACAAGGAAGGGCATCTCACAAACTGCAAACAGAACACGGTGAGAGGACACAGGAGCATTTCCTTTTCCTGTCTCCATGTGACTCGGGAACGCGGGGCAAGACATTTAAAACCAGGACGGCCGCAGAGGGAAAGGATGGTAGCTCTTCCACGCCAGCTCCCTTTCGGTGAGGGCAGCAGTTTCCGAAGTCGCAAAGACGTCCCTTCTCCCAAGTCCGTCTTCTCAATTTCCCTTCCTGGCTCCTAACTACAGTTTATTTCTTTTCATAACATTCTTGGCTTACCTCAGCTTGTAAGAAAAGTCCTTTACGCCACTCCCCTCCACGCCTCCCAGGACAGCCCTCAGGTGCTCACAGTCCATCTCAATTTCGGTCGGGGTATTAAGGAGCATTAGGCGACGGAAACTCTAGGAGAGCCCGAGTATCCGCGCACAAAGCCAGCAAGACCCCAGAAGGGGAGAGCACACGGCCCGGTGGGCCGCGGCCCCTTTAAGAACAGGCCACGCCCCTCCCCTCCTCCCGGCGCGGCCGGCGGTCGGTGGCGGCCGCTTCGGTGCTGACAAGATGGCGGCTGGCGGGGCTGTCGCTGCGGCGCCCGAGTGCCGGCTTCTCCCCTATGCGCTACACAAGTGGAGCTCCTTCTCCTCCACTTACCTTCCCGAGTAAGTGCTGGGCCCTGGGCTCGTGCTGCCCTACTCTTCGGCATAAGCACGGCTGGGCCAGGGGGGCTGTGGAGGGCAGTCGAGCCGAGAGGCCCAGGCGGGGCCTGGTAGGGGGACGCCTGGCCTCCCGAGTCTCAGTCCAGCCGCGGAGAGCTTTGCCCTCCCTACCCCCCGTCTTAAGGAGGGGTTAGGGTCCGGAGAGCGGGGTCCAGGGGAAAGGGGTGAGGTGTGCCGCGGACCCGGAGCGCGTAGGACAACCGGGAGCCCCGTGATGCTGTGTCCGGGATTTGAGGGTTGAAGAGAGCTTGGGGGGCGGCTGGCTCAGGGAGGTGGGGCAGGAACCGGAGCTTTTGAGGTCCCGACGTCTGGCAAACTGGTGAAGATGTCTAGGGTCGTCGGGGCTGTGGAGATTGGGGGACGGCCCGGCCGAGACAAAGTGTAAAGCTGAGCAGAGGAGTGATTGTTCTTGACTGGGGTCATTAGAAGTGATTAGCTCGAGAGGAGTGGTAAAAGTCACGAAAGGCTGAAAAGTTGTGGGATCCACCAGAATCCTTGCAAGTGGGGAGGATTTGTAGGATTTGCAGAGGGTTGTCTTTTCCGGCTGGTGTTCTGAAAAAGATAGGGAGTGGGCTGGGACATTACAGGAGAGTTCCATTATATTATGGCTCAGAACATGGATTTATATAAATACAGACCAATTTCCCAACCCAGAAACTCACATATAGACGGAAAAGTCTGACTTTAATGGATTTGACTTCCAACACTGGTTTGGTTTGAATCCCCGATTTGGTGTTAAAACAAGTTCCATTGCATTACTACCATATGTTTTTTGTTTTTTTGTTTTGTTTTGTTTTGTAACAAATTCCTTCTGAAATGCTGAAAGTACTTTCATACAGTGTTTATCTTTAGTTTATCTTTGAGGGAAGAACATGTAACTCCAGTTTTACATAGAGATAGAGAAACTGGCTTAGTGAAGTTTAAAGATCTATGCAGACCCTGAAGAAAAGTGCTAGTTGTCCCCCGCCCCCGCCCATCATTTCCACAAGGCCAGGAATGATTTTGTGAACAAAACAAGTGGCAAGTAATATATCTTTTTATGTTACTGAACAGATGAAGTAATGAGATCCGTGGAGCATACTCAGAATTTTTCATCTGTATTTCAAAAATTTTTTACATTTTCTCAAATTTGATTTCTTCAGTTAAATCAGTCAAGCATCTCAAAATGGATCTGTGACTAGAAGAACCTATAGGTCTCTCGACTGCTAGCCCATTGTCCTGTTCACCAGGTCAAGGGTTGGCAGGCAGGCCTTCAGCAGGGTTTGCTTCCGTGAAGGGTGCCAAGTGACCTGTGGTCAGATCTGGCCTGTGTGGCCTATTGATGGCTACTGCATGGCTGTGTTCCTGATTGATGTTGGTCTACAACTTTTCATTTGAGAGTGAGCCAGGTGAACATTCTAGCCCTCAGCTGGAGTTGAAATGTGGCCCAGGTACTTCTGATTTTTGAAGCTAACAAGTTCTTGAATCTCGAGACAATTAGCATTTTTCTATACCCAGGTTAGGATCACAGACAGTAGGGAATTGGGGTGGCATCCTTTGATCTAATAACTTCAAAGAAGTTTTCTAATAACAAGTTTTTCTGGTCTTAAGTTGGGCTACTTTCAGGATTTCACTCCTTAAATTTCCGGTCTAAGGGCAGGACTTGGATATTAGAAATCCCATCTCCGTTATGAATAAAAAGGGAAGAGTGCGTTTCAAGCAGGAAATGATTTATACTCTGACTTATGTCTCATTATCTGACCCAAGATTTGAAGTGGACAGAGTACTAGTTTTGGTGAGTACTAGTTTTGGTTAGAAGGCAGTTGTTTGAGTTTGGAGAAATCTATTGTTATAATTCTCTCATATATGTTCATAAATTAGTATTTAATGCATGTTTAACTCTCACTCACTTTTATTTACAGTGTCTTATTTAATCCTTATGGTATTCTGCTGTTTTATGCAGAATAGTTTTTATTTTAAAGTACTAAGATGTTAAGATAGAAGAGTAATTGGAACTTTTTTTCTTTGAAAGAATATAATTATTATGGACTTTGAGTTTGAGAATTTTGTGTGTGCTGGATTAGTGTGTGCCATGCCTAACTTGTAAAACTCTTTTGGTACTGAACTTCTTTTAGCAAGTAAGGATGCTACAGCTTTATATAATAGGAAGTGTAAGAAAGGGAATTGACTTTCCTTGCTTTTGCCCTAAAATCCTCTTTAATGGTAGTTGCTCTATCTTTACTGCTGTGACCGTTAGTTCTAATTTTAAGTAAAGCCATTTGTTGGAATTGTCTCTTGGGTAGCAAGTATTTATTGGTTTCAAGAGTCACAGATCTAGGCATTTTTAGGGGTGAATAAGAAAGCAATAATAACAGTGAGAAACACTTATAATGTGCCTTCCATATGGTAAGCTTTTTTATGAACACTTTAAGTGTATTAACTCATTTAATCCTCACAATTGTTTGAAGAATTTCTGTTTTCCAGGTGAGGAACTGGGCATGGAGAGATTAAAATTTGCCTCAGGTTACACAGCTAGATGAAGTCAGAATTTGAACCTAGGCAGTCTCGCTTCCCATTCCATAGTCTTAAAAGTGCTGTTCTGCTTCTGCACAAAGGTAGAGACAGGAATTCAGAGATTGGAAAGAGTTCTCATATTAAAGGCACTTAAATTTTAGTTGTGTAAAAACATGTGAAGTCATGAAAAAAAATGGAACAATTCAGATATCTATCTTCCTAAGGACTAGAATTTTTTTTCCTTCTCCCAAAGGCAGAGAAAAACCATTTTTTTCCTTCTCATCCTTTCAGATTTATTTGGACCTTAAAAATATTAAAACAGATCTAGTTATAGATAGCACATTTTTATTTTGAAGCTAACCAAGTGGCCTTTTATTTTGCAGTGTGCTTAAAAAGTTTGCCATATTTCACATTTTTCTGAAATTTATACTCAATTTGGGAATTAAGAGAAATACATTTTTTCTTTTTTTAAGATTTTATTTATTTATTTGACAGAGAGAGACACAGCGAAAGAGGGAACACAAGCAGGGGAGTGGGAGAGAGAGAAGCAGGCTTCCTGCTGAGCAGGGAGCCTGGTGCGGAGCTCTCTCCCAGGACCCTGGGATCATGACCTGAGCTGAAAGCAGACGCCTAACGACTGAGCCACCCTGGCGCCCCGAGAAATACATTTTTTTAAAAAGATTTTATTTTTTTTATTTGTCAGAGAGAGAGCACAAGCAAGGGGAGCGGCAGGCAGAGGGAGAAGCAGACTTCCTGCTGAGCAAGGAGCCCGATGGGGGACTCTATCCTAGGACCCTGGGATCACGACCTGAGCCACCCAGGCATCCCAGGGAAATATATTTAAATGATGATTAATTGTTAAAATTACATGGGAGTTTATTATGTAAAAATATTTTATATTCTCTATACTTAAATACTTCTTGATGTAGCTAATTAATAGTGATACCAACTACACTTTACTGAGCACCTATTATATGCAAAATGATTTTTCTATATAGTCTTACTTAATCCTTAGAACAAAGAGGTTTTTCGTTTGTTTTTGTTTTTTGCAGATGAGGAAACTTAGGTCTGTACAGGTTAAGTAACTTGTCATAAAGTTTTTAAACGGCTTGGCAAGTTCTGTGACTTAAAAGCTATTGCATGTGCTTCTAGTAACAACTACCATTTAAGTACCTTCTGTTCTTTGGGCACTGTGCTTAGCACTTAGCATGTGTTTTTTGATTTAGTCTTCATAAACACTTTACAATAAATATTACTCTGTCTTACAGCTAGGGAAACTGAAGTTCAGAGAGAGAAATTAATTTGCCCAGGTCCAAGAATTGAAACAGTAGGAAATAGTATTCTCATCTTGGGCCTTCTGATTTCTGTTAACCAAAGCTGCTTCCATATTTTGTGTGTCTATAATATGTGCCTAATTGTGAGTACAAATAAGTGCTATAAGTTTAGAGAAAGAGAGCAATATTTAGAATTTTTTGTCTTGACATTTAAGGTTTTAATGTATTAATATGAAAACTGGGAGGACCTTTTAAAGTTTTTTACGCATTAGGTAATTTCACTAATATGGAATTGATTCTAGTTTACATGTAACTGAAGACTTAAATATTTTAGATTGTAAAATTTGATACATTTTAAGTGTGTTTATCTTTTTTTCTGTTAGTCTTCTTTATTACTTAAAATCAAACCATTAAAATTGTACCTTGTGTACATACATAGTTCACAGTTAAAGTGATAATGATTTGACAACCAGGATTAGAGATGAACCTATTTCAACTATTTTAAAATTTAACACTTAAAAATGAATACATATTTTTTCTGCTTGCAAAAAAGCCTCCTAAGTTTATTGTGGAATATTTACAAAATATAGACTGGAACAAAATATAAATTATCCTTAATACCACCATCCAAAGATAACCAATCACCCTTTGATATATATCATTGCAGATGTTTTGTTGTAACTATATTTTTCATTTTGACTTTGTCCTCTGTTTGCTGTTATGTATTCTTTTTCCTCATTATATAATAAATATTTCCTCATGTTATTAAATATTCCTCTATATCATTTGTCAATGGTGCATTATAATCTAGGTAATGATTTTATGGCATTTTATTTATTGGTCTCCTATTACTGGACATTTAGGCTTTCGGGCTTTGTTTTGTTGTTGTTTGTTTTTGTTGTTCTTTGGCCATTTTGAGTGAGACTGTTTGCCTTAGCGAAACAAATTTTGAACTTATTTATGAGTTCCTTGATACTGAATTGTTGTACTTAAAGTATCCATCTGGGGGCGCCTGGGTGGCTCAGTCGTTAAGCGTCTGCCTTCGGCTTAGGTCATGATCCTAGGGTCCTGGGATCGAGCCCTGCACTGGGCTCCCTGCTCTGCAGGAAGCCTGCTTCTCCCTCTCCCACGCCCCCTGCTTGTGTTCCCTCTCTCGCTGTGTCTCTCTCTGTCAAA